TAACCTTGAATCTCCGTGCATCCCCATACGACTAACAGGAATAAATTTGTGCTCCGTATAACACGGTGAAATCAGTCCTATGGATTTTATTAGATTTGTAACATATTAGCGCATACTGCGGTTGATCTATTACCTAAAATAATTACCTACTCGCATTCATAACACGTTTGCTAAAATATATGTTAATCACTGACCATTGTAAATGCAGCTGTTTAACGTTCAGCAAGTGTTGTTTTGTTTCGTTTTTAAAGTTAAATTCCATTTTCTTATTAATTGTATGTAAATGACGCAACTCGGCGTACAACTAGCATAGTGCAGTAAAACCTGTCTTATACGGACCCTTGTTAAGATGGAATCCTTTTCTGTCCCGACAGATTTCTATAATTTAACATAGGATTAACCCTTGATAAAACAGAACCTGTCTAACGTAAAACGTAAAGCTTTTTTTGGTCCCGTAAATCATATATATCTTTAACAAACGAAAAAACATATCATAAAATAAACAAAAACATTTTTTATACCCATATTTATTTTGTTATTAAACAATTATTAAGAGCAGCAGGAATATTAATATGTCTCGATAGATAACTACATTTTATCTTGAATCTTTATCATCAGTGTTCATTATTGTCACACCGTATAGTCGTAGTTTTCCTGTCTTTCGTCTCATATATTTTTTGTTCTCCCAATGTCTTTAAAGATTTGTTTAAGCTTAAATTAAAAAAGTGAAAATTATAGAAGAAAGTTGTTAATTGTTAAAGAAAAAACTAGTCAAAAAAGTTTATACGAATTTTGGAGTTTTTAATTATATTTTAATTTATTTAATTAATACATATTATTATGTAATTATTTACTAAAAATTAAAATATATTATAGCCTATGATATTTATTAATTTTCAACATTTTAATTTTTATTATTGGCCGGAAAACGTTATAACTTTAAAAATTAATTATGCAGAATATTGTAAGTCTATAGTACAGAATTTCCCTTTTTATTCAGTTACATGGAAACCTGCTTAAAACAGAAATTTTTATTGGTCCTGTGCAATTCCGTACAGGACAGGTTTTACTATACTACTCATGCTCATTTTTATTTCGTTTGATAAATCGTCGATTTTTATATTTAAGTAATGCATTACCTACTCTGTTCGTTGATCACACGTTACAAATCAAACGTATAGGTGTGATTCCTGTGCACGCGTCTAGAGACGCGCGACCGACGCCGCCCGATTTTATTTTAGCCACGTAGATACTTACTTGTTTTTAGATATGACCGATTCCTATGACCGCGGTACCGCGCACTTCCAGCGCTGCGCAGCGACGACTGCTTCGAGAGTAGTCGAATCGCACGAACCGCGCGGCTAATATTTAATAACTAATATAATATAATTCATATTTTAATTAATTTTCAAAGTTCGACATTTTTTGAACACTGTGTGACACAAAACGTCTTCAAAAGTATTATTCACAGTAGAACTAATAATAATAATATTTAAAAAAACACACTGGTGAATATACAAGTAGGTACAACTTAACCAAACAGAGAACTTGATACAACTGCGTGTACGTGTCTAATTATTTTAGCCGCGCGTCTCTAGACGCGTGCACGGAAATCACATTTTATTTATACCTAACATAAAAATCAGTTTAAAAAACATTATTTTTAATTTTTTTCGTTCAATATAAATAATTAATAAGATATTTAAATTCGGATACTTATCTCTTAATATTATCGCGACAGAAATAATAACACGATACCTATTCGATTTCACCCATTATAACAAATTTAAAAAATAATTAATGAAATGTTTAAAGCTATAGCATACCTGCAGTGTACCACCAACCAATTATTATTCAATATAATTTTATTAAATACATAATCTTTTTAAATAATATTAGAATGTAAGTTTGATGATTAAGTAGTATACTGTCATTATTACCTGAAGTGCGAATTTAAGATTTTTGTTTACAAATTATTCTGTCAATTAATCGTTACATGCGCGTACTAAAATGCCTACACGTCATGCTCATATAATCATAGTTTTGTGTGTTCGTACGTACAACTATGTGAACTATGCTTACTGGAAAAAGCAATTTGTAGTCCCTACTAATTATTTTAACAGCCGACAATAACAATGAGATAATAAAATCTGTTGTACACTTGTACCTCAATCAGGTTAAGCGTATTATAGTATTTTAATATAAAATGTTTCGAATATTTGAATATTTTCAGCTTAATGTATATACGTATACACGCTCATATACGTATAAGACCGTTTTCCTTTTATATGAGTAGATATTTTAATATTATATATTTATACACCATTACTTTAGGGCTTAGGCCACACTCGGAAATATTTTTTTTTTTTTTGGAGGGGAGTTATACACGTCTTAATAAGTAGTGTATAAAATAATGAACAATTTATAAATACCTATAAGAAATCAGACATATTTTAAGGATCCATTAATATAAGATTTGTTGATAATTATTTAAATTCGCATTTTATATTATAATGTTAAATTAAATTAAATTTTACAGCACAAATTCTAAGTTTCTATTTTTTTTCTTTAGAAAAACAGTTGATTACTATCTTAGGGCCGGCATAAATATTAAATAAATAAAGTAAAACTTAATTCTTTTTAGAGAAAAAAATATCCTTTCGGGCGTTGTGGTTGACCCTGGTAAAGTAATCAAAACTTTTAATTAATATGAAATGTTTAGAGAAAAGTTTTGATTACTGTTAGAATATACTTCAAGTACTTCGCTCTACATTGTAATTATTTGAGCTATAATATTTTATTATTAATATTATATTAATAATAAAAAAACGGATGTTAAATTTCAAAGTTTCTGCAATGCTGTTTGACTCCCCCCTAACGGCATTGCCACCATCTTTCTATAATAGTCAAATTTAATATAATTCTACTGTAAGTTCAATAAGTATTAATACTAAGATTGCTAGTGTAAATTATATACTTTAAATAGCTAGTCGATAGGTTATTATTATCGATTTCTAAAATCAAAGTAGTTTACATATTTGTGTATTATTTTTATAACAAACATTATTTGCCACTAGAATAGTTGATAGCAACTGCAGGCTATTATTTATGTTTTCCATTATTATAATTATTATTATTGTACAAGAGAAAAAAACTAATTTTATAAAAAATATATTATGTCTATAACTATTTTAAATATTAAAAATACTTATCTACCAAATCGATATTATACAAGATCATCAATCTGCAAGTATTTTTTTTTTTTTTATTATTTAGAAAATTTACAATCTGTGTTACAATATGACACAATAAGTAAAATAGATAAATGATATAACTCTATATACATAACATAATAAAATATACATGACGCACATGATGAGGGAAATCATGCAGCGATGGTACCTTCTAGTAATAATCTGCAAGTATGAAAAAAATTGAGTCTTCATAACCAATTTGATAAATTTATTTTTCAAAATACAATATTAATGTTAAGATAGGTTGTACACTTGTACATAAAAATAAATAACAAGTTTAACAATTTAGTTGAGTGTGAGTTGTATACTTTAAAGTGTTACGGATATTTTAATTAAAAACACAAACAATTCATAATACCTTGAAAACCTTTATTTTATAAAAACACGATATTGTTCTCTGACCATGGTCCGTACTAAATTATAAATTGTAATACCATCATTATTATTAAGGGTCTATGACTTTAATACTAAATACTTATTTTTGCACAAGCGTTCTATAGGTTTTATTATGTAATTTTTATTTTGTTCTTTTGTCTTAATGTGATCGTTTTCAATATTGAATTTTTATTTTAGAGCTATATTAATCATTGCAATTTATCATTGATTAGAAAATAATTTATACATGAGATATTCGAGTCTGTATATATAACAACATATTTTTCGTTACCGTCAAGTTCTACTGATAATGATAATATTCTTCTGATTACGTTATTTATCTATATAATTAGTAATTACTATTACAATTTTCGATTTTCACTAGATTTTTTGGTTCTGATATTTATTATTTAAATAATTGTCTTTAGTGTTTTAATCTAAGTTATCGTTTTTGTTTTTTGGTACCTAATGAAAATATTATAATTTTAATAACTGAGTTTTGAAAAATATATTTTTTTGTAGTAGAAATAATATCTCAGTTTTTTTTTATCTAGGTACATTAGATAAAATAATTTTAGGTAATCCATTTTGGTATTATTGATGTTATAAATCATTCACTTTATTGTAATCTGAAATTGATTAAAAAAGGTTGTAATTTAAATTATTAGTAGGATTTGATTTTTCTATATCTTCATAAAAATAATCAAAGCATTTGTTTAAATTATTTAATTTTCTAAGTTCTGAGGTATTATTATAACTCCATTTTTTATTATTTTATAAATTATCATAAGTAATACATAAATTATCTCTAATATCATACATTTTGTTTATCTATGGTGTTAACTAAAGATTTGCAAGCTTATTGACTTTTGTCTATAACTTTTAAAATAGTGTTGATAGTTTTATTTAAATATATAGAATTTTCAGACTTAAAAATAGAATCTACATTGAAACCTAATTTTTGTTATAAACTATCTGTATCTATTTTATTTTTAATTAATTCACAAAAATTTGTTTATTTTTAAGCTATCATCTATACCTGTTGGTTTTAAAATCCCTTTAAAATAACTAATTACATTAGGTGCATAGTAATAACAGAGTAAATTATTTTATAGCCATTTGACTTTTCTGTCGCCAGACGCTTAAGTTTGGTACTCTTTTAATCACTATCATTTTTATTTATTTTTTTTGTATATGCCAAAAGTTTGGTTTCACACTTCACTTATTGACTTTCTGGTTTAAAGTTAAAATAGGTTAATCTCTTTATTTTTACGTTGGTTGATATTATAATGTTTTAATTTTATATTTACAGTTGGTAAGTTAGAGCTGACACTTCTTCTGTCCGTTAATTTATCAGAAAATACAGTTACGATGGAAGCCAACTCTAATGATACATTCACTTTACCCAGCTTATTGAAGACAGCTTACAACGCGTGTAACATTACCCAGCGGCGAAAGTACAACGCGCGGAGAATTAGAAATGCGCGGAAAAGGCACAACACGTTGCAGCTTAAGCATGTCGAGCTAAGAAGGTGTTGCAAGTCGATTTTCGCAATTTTAAGGATAAATTCTGATATTGGTTTCAACCTTCGCGGCAGCAGGCGTCTTATGTTTCTCAAAGTGAAGCACGCCTTTCATTTATCCGATATTGAGCAAGAAATTGAACGCATATGTGAGATGGCAGCATTAAACGGACACATAAATTGTTTGAAGTTGGCTCGTGCGATTGGAACCCCCTGGGGCACTACGAGCTTCAGGTATGATTCTGCATGCGACTCGGCAGCAGGCGTGGGCAGCATGGATTGTTTACAATACGCATACGAAAATGGAAGCCGGTTTAGCACGAGGACGTGTTCGAGAGCGGCGGGCGACGGTCATTTGGACTGTCTCAAGTTTCTTCATGAAAACGGGTGTGCGTGGAATAGTGAAACGTGTATTGTAGCCGCGGCAAATGGACATTTGGAGTGTCTTCGATACGCCAAAATAAATGGATGCGAGTGGAATGAGATTGTGTGTATGCTAGCTGCGTTGAATGGACAACTGCACTGTCTTAAATATGCACACAATAATGGATGTCCCTGGGACACAAGCACTTGTTATCATGCTGCAATAAATGGGAACATCGATTGTTTGAAATACGCCCGAGAAAACGGATGTGATTGGGACGAAGAAACGTGTTATCAGGCTGCGAAAAACGGGAAAATTGACTGTCTTAAGTATGCCCACGAAAATAATTGCCCGTGGGACAACAGAACGTGTTCTGCGGCTGCGTTAGGTGGTCACTTTCAGTGTCTACAGTATGCATATCATAACGGATGTCCGTGGGACGTACAACAGTTTCTTTATTCTTCAGAAAATAAACAACCGGACTGTTATAATTATGCAATTGAAAAATTAAATGAATATTTAAAAAAATAATGTTATGTCATACCCGCGTGTGTTGTCGACTCTGTGTTACTATAACGTACAATAAGGCAAACTTAAGTTTTTAGCATTAATAGGTATAAGATCAAATTTAACTGTAATGCCAATGTTGAAAGTAAAACTATTAGTTGATAAGTTATTATTTATTATGATCAAACGAATTGTAACATTTTTTGGTTAACTATACTGTTATTTGCATATTAAAAATTACATTTGTAAAATTTTAAAACTGCGAGGTTGTATAGCCATCATGTCTTATAAATAAAATCGTTATTTCGAAATTTTAATCATAATTATTTGTTTGTTATTTATGAATAATATGTTTTCAAGTATATAATCATATGTATAAATAAATAATTTGATTAGTGTCTTGCACTAAATTATTATTCTTATTAATTATATATGCCTTTAAATTTAAAAATGAATATTAGTATAACAAGATATCTTATAGGTACAAAAAAAAAAAAAAAATAATAAATATAATGGTTAGTTTTATCTATGTATAGAAACTACCATCAATTTAAGCATCAATTTTAGAAACTGGTAGATACGTACTTCAATAATTACTATTATTGTACAAATTCACACATTTAATTTTTTCTGGTTTTTTTTTTTTTTTTTTTTAATTTTTGTATTTCTTATAATACATTATAACTAGAAAAAGGACGCTCTGAGAAAATTTTTGTTCAAAAACGGCGTCGTGATCTAAACAAGTTTGGGAATCGTTGTTGTAACTTTTTAACTATTACAAGCTCTATTTAAAGAAGGTAAGTTGGTAAGTACCTATGAATCTCATGCAGGTAAATTATTTTTTTTTTTTTTGTTTAAATAATGCATCTATTTTAATACTTGAAATAAATAAATAATTAAAAATAAAATCACATAACAGAAAATTATTAGTTATTATTATATAATAAAATATAGTTTCAATTAAAAAAATATTTGTCATACATGTAAATAATTGTTTATAAAAATTATTGCATATTAAGAAATTTTTAATTTATTTTTTTATAAATATAGATAAAAATTATTTTTTGAATAGAAATGCGAGAGAAATTCAGAGTTGAAAAATATTAATTTAAAAAGTTATAAAAGTTTTATATAAAATTAAGAAACATAGAAATATTTATATTTAATTAATAAAATAGTCCAGAGATGACTAAAAATATTTAAAGCAAAAAATATATTATAACACAGAGTTGTTAATTTAAAATAAAATTATAATATAGTTCAGAGTTGAAAAATATTAATTTAAAAGATTTATAAAATATAGAAATATTTATATTTAATTAATAAAATAGTTCAAAGATGACTAAAAACACATTTAAAAGAAAAATTTTGACAACAGAAGTAGATTTATAAAATAATTAAAACGCTTAGATTTTAATATTCAAAAAAATTATTTAGTCCAGTGTTGACCAATATTAATTTGACAATTATTAAACATTTATAAAAATTAAAAATAACATAGAAATTCTCATATTTAATAAATATGAATAAAATAATTTAGAGACGACCAACAATAATACAATTACCGATTTAAAAGCCATTATTTGAAAATTTTAAATTATAGGGTTTATGATTACTGGTGAACAAGCACAATCTCCATCTGATAATAAAAACTTTTATATTTAAAGAACAATTAAATAATATAACTAATCAATTAGATGAAAATATGAAATTAATGAATAATAATATTGTAAAGAATCAAGACTTTCTAAAAAAATTAAATAATGAAATTCAAAATAAAAATAAAAAAAATGATTAAATAAGAAAACAAAAAAAAAAAATAAAAATAAAAATTTCACTGATAAAAAATTTTTAACAACAAGCCCCTAATTATTCACAAGGAATAATTCAGCGTTTACTAAAAAACCTCTTGATAAACAATTTAAACAATTTTTTAATATATCACAAAATTATAATAAAAAAAAAAAATGTGTGTGACATTTGTCAATATACATTACAACACCGAAGATTGCCATTTTAAAGACAATCCATTATAATATTAATAAGGTAACAAAAATTTCAAATAAATATATGTTGTAAGACCCACTCTTGTATCATATTCATATAATTATAAAGTAAATAAAGTAATTAATATGAAATTAACGAGATCAAATAATGAATCATTGACATTAATAGGGTCTACAGAAATGAATACAGAGATTAATTCTTACAGCTTCAAAACAATTACCCATATAATACAAGATTTATCTTGTGCATTCATAATTGGAAACAATTTGTTAGCAAATAACTGGGCTATTATAAACTTTAAAGGAAAAACTATTTATTTAAAAAAATAATTTCGTAATCAAAGCCTACACTAATATTAGTGATTCCAAAATTAATTTTATTAAAGAAAAACTATTAAATATATTTGAATTAAGCAATCACTACTCTATAGCTCACTGCATATCAGCAGACCTATTTATGAATAAAGAATTAGCTCTTAGTATAAAAAAAATATATATATACCAATAAAGATTAATAAAAAACTTATATATCATTTAATTACTAAAGAAAAATATTATCAAGAGCCTAATATAAAAGATATAGAATTAGCATTAACCAACTTAAAAAAAAATGCATGATAGAAAATAATAATTTTAATTTATCAATCACAAACATAGTTTCAGGTTTGGATAAATGTAACTGGATCACAATAAAACGACTCATCAATTCAGAATTCCAAAATACTAACATTAAATTAGGTAATAATTTATTATAATATTGATATATAATTCGAAAAAAAAAACATTTTAGCAAAAATAATTAAAATGAACCAATAAAGAAATAAACTCTTACTATTTTAAATATTAAAAAAAAAAAAATATATATATTATTAAACTATGTATGTATGCTAACAAAAAATTGACAATTTTTAAATTTTACCAGATAAGAAAAAAGATAAGATAAAAAAAAATAATAATGCAAAAATGTATTAAATATATATATATATTTATAAAAATAAGTAAACGAATACTTCAAAGAACCATTGGATTATCCTGATCATATTCATGTCATCCACATTCACAAATACTACGTTCATAACACATCACTGCATTGGATAAAAAACTCAAGATTATATATTTCATTAGTTTACAAAAAAATAATTGGCATTTGATGATCATATTACCCCAATCAAGCAAATACTCAAATAAATAAAAAAAAAAAATATATCAACAAAAAAAAAAAAATAAATAATAAAGAACAACACAAATTAAATACCAGATGAAAATATGTTCACTATTTGATAATTTTGAATTTTTTATGATGAAGTGTTACATTTAAAACTAGTATATTCATATTATTATATACTATAATATAGTAAGTTTTGTAGCCAATGTATTTTAAGGTAAAAAAATAAAAAATATAAATAAATAAATAATAAAATTGTATTTAAAACAATACATATATGCACATCAACAATAAGAACTACTCACACATTCTTCAAACTTTCTGACAGAAATGATAACTGTCAAGGATCTTAAAACTCCTCAGATAAAAAAATGACTATAAAAGAAAATAATAAAAAAAAGATCTTTACAGAAATATTGATATATATATTCACAGAAAAGGTAATAACATTTATAATTCTTAGAGATAGTTCAACTCTCAGAATTATAAGGTACAAATACCCATAAAAAAAAGAAATTATATAAGCTACTAATCCAATCTTACAAAGTTGAGATAAAAATGACTCCAGTCAACAACAAATGAAGTTTGGTTCAAACCACAAAAAAAAAATATCACGAATAACTTACAAAATTGCCAAATACACTGAACTTTATTAACTCAAATAATAATAAAAAAAAACATCTTTGCTAATCAAATAAATAAATCTATTTATATAACTAAAAAAAAAAAATAAATAACAACTTAATCATTTATATTTACATCATTAAAAAAAAATTAATACTTATTATATAACAACTATTTAACTACATATTATTCAATTTATATACTTATTATGTACTTATTAACCATATTATTCAATTTATATACTTATTATATACTTATTAACCATATTATTCAATTTATATACTTATTAACCATATTATTCAATTTATATACTTATTAACCATATTATTCAATTTATATACTTATATATTAACCATATTACTCAATTTATATACTTATTTATTATATTAATCAATTTATATACTTATTAACTACACAAATCATTCACTATTGAAGATTTTGATTTCATATTTTTTTTTTCACTGACAAAATTAAACATGTACTAATTATAATATATTATGAGGACATAATACCAAAAAAACTAGGTTGGATGTAATGATATTCACATTATTACGCCACAAGGCCTTATAATTAAGTATCATATTATTCATCATCCATCTTAATGCTTAAGTAAATATTCATATCATAAACAAATTGCAATAATATATTAAAATTATCATCAAACAATTACCTAATTTGTTAAATACTTTATATCATTAAAAAAACATGTTTATATGATACAAATGTAATTATTCTAAATAAACAACAAAAAATTAAAATAGAACAACAGTCAACAAGTAAAATATTAAGTCTATAAGTAGAACCCCCATTCTGACATTAAAGTCAGTCAAGTCTCCATCAAGGATTCTGTCTCCACCGAATAGTCTACATCCAGTTACCGCCCTTATTCTCAAAAGCAAGAGAGTATTAATTTAACAGTCTAAATTGATCTTTCACTCGTTGTTAAGTTTAAATTAAGTTTAAATCAAAGTTATAAATCTTATTCGAATTATTGTTCTTATTTTATCCAAATAATGCATGTTAAATTTAAATCAATATTATTGACATCCGGTTATCAACACCTATCAGGTAAGAAAATATATCTATATACTTGAATACATTAAAGACAGAAAGAATATCATCATTACAAATAAAAATAACACACGTAGACTCCAGTGTTGTAGGGAAAGTAAAGATAATCTATATTTATGAACAAGGCTGTGAATTTATAGGATAGTGCATTTTTTTTT